GGATTTACTACGCGTAGAATTACCACGCGTCGAATTACCACGCGTGGAACTATTACGCGTCGAATTACCACGCGTGGAATTACTACGCGTGGAGGTACCACGCGTCGAATTACTACGCGTGGAATTACCACTCGTGGAGATACCATGCATCGAATTATCACGCGCCGAATCACCACGCGTGGAATTACTACGCTTCGAATAACCATGCGTGGAATTACCACGTGTCGAACTACCACGCATCGAATTACTACGCGTTGAACCACCACGTATAGAGTTACCACGGATCGATTTACCACGCATTAAATTCCCGATCCTGGACAGTTCTATATAGGCACATAGGCACCACGGTACCCTATTCACAAATTAATTGAGTGTTACATAGCAAATCGTTTGGACCAAACGAGATATAATTAATGACATACAATATTACTTCTCCATTAATATGCAATTGTTACGTCGTTATAATTTTCACAGTTACCGAAGTACCAGAAGCCTATGATGCAAGAAACGTAGGCAGTGACCCCGATAGACACGCGATCCTTGATCTCAATTTTCTTCCAACCTTTTGCATATCAAGCAGGTGTATTATAGGGAGAGCAGTAAATGAAACTGCATAACATTATTTGTGAAACGTTCTCGGATAATTATTTTTTCACACACGTCCGAAACGAGGGGCACGCTTCAAAGCGATGCGCAATATCGCGAGATACTTTCTTCGCGCACTCGACCGATAAAGCGAGTAAAAGTATCGTAAACGTAGCAGAAAAGCAGCATGTGACGCGTATTATAATCGGCCTGAACGAACAAAAGGATGTTCGCAAATGTGACGTAAGAAAAACGGCGAAATAAAATTGTCCGTTCCGCTAAATGCGACACTGAAAATGAAAATCTAACTGTACCGCGCGCACACAGTATCCGTGATATGTTGCTGCAAAGAATTCCATTACGGTTTTACTTTTATTATCGTGCTGTGGGTTTGTCGTGTCGCAACAACGTTTTTACCTCGGGATAACAATTTTTCAAATTCTCGTCCGATTATCGCAACAATTATTTTCGTTACGCTTTCCGCAAATATTCTCTGCGTTCCTGATGATTTTGCAACGTTGATTCGATAAAATTCTGTAAAAATTTTAATAATGTTCCGTAAGAATGTCAGCGATTTAATTTTCAGATTGAACAATCAAGTTTGAATCATAATGTGTTTGATTATACTAAGAAAATACGTAAAATTGACTTCTAATTACAATGTTGAAATTTAAGTAAATTACTGTTTACACTTTCTTTGCTTGTGCAAGTGTTGATATAATGGAAAATATGAGTACCATAACTTTTTTAGCTATACAAAAGACTTTCTCGTAACACACAGCTATATATATAACATCACGTCAATCACCGATTGCCAATGTGCGAAATTATTCAAAATAACCAACCGGTTGCGTCCTCACTTTCACAAACATTTCCGATACGTATGATTGCGTAATGGGTCATGGCTCTTGCGAAAGATTCGAAGAAAGAGTTTTCCTTTGAGAAATTACGATATTCCGTAACCGAGAAAATCGATAACGAGAACTAGCCAGTTGGTTTAACGGATGTCGGACGCAACTTGCTAAACGATCAGCAACAGATGCTCGTGTCTCATTACTCAATACTCTCTCTTACTAACCGTAAAATGAGCGGTATTATTGGTACGGATAATACTACTTGTCTGTAAGAATAAGTAGAGCGATTTTCCGTTAATAGATACTTGGATTTTATGTCAAAGATGACATCCTTTAAATTATTTTCACTTAAGTATTGGATTTTGGAATACTTTGTACTAACCCCAATATGTTGGCCATCGATGAAGAGCTGTGGCAGCTGTATGACGTCGGAACCTAAACGTTCTCTCAGTTCTGTCTGCAATTCCGCGTCTCCGAACAGATCCAGTTCGTCATATTTCACCATATGCGTCCTCAAAATCTGCTTCACCTTCTTGCAGTTGTAGAACGTCTTTCTGACGATACCAGAGGTTGTTGTGTAGACTACTACTTTGCCCAGCTCCTTCTTGATGTACGCCTGGAAGCAAATATGTTTGTGAAAGAATCGTAACAGCATTATTATAATTCTATCTTAACAATTACAGTCACCATCATTATATTTGACTATAATTTAAGATGTACGACGAATTGTAAGACCTAACCTCTTTATCTTAGCCTCCCAATTATAGTCATCATCGTTTAGCATCACATTTGACTATAATTTAAATTGTACAACGTATTGAAAAAGAAAACATAACCTCCTTGTCTCAACCTCCCAGTTACAGTCACCATCATCCACCATTTTATTTGACTATGCTTTAAGATGTCCCACGAATTGTAAGATTTAACTTCTTCATCTTAACCTCCCAATTACAGTCATCATCATTTACCATCACATTTGACTATAATTTAAATTGCACAACGTATTGAAAAAGAAAACATAACCTCCTTGTCTTAACCTCCCAATTATAGTCACCATTATCCACCATTTTATTTGACTATACTTTAAGATGTACCACGAATTGTAAGACCTAACCTCTTTATCTTAGCCTCCCAATTAAGTCACCATCGTCTACCATCACATTTGACTATAATTTAAATTGTACAATGTATTGAAAAAAAAACATAACCTCCTTGTCTTAACCTCCCAATTACAGTCACCATCATCCACCATTTTATTTGACTATAATATAAGATGTACCACGAATTGTAAGACTTAACCTCTTTATCTTAACCTTCCAATTACAGTCACCATCATACATCATTATACATTTGACTATAATTTAAATTGTACAAAGAAATTGTAAAAGAAAATTGAAGTTCAAATATAAAAGAAACATCATTCAATGGAGATGTAACATTTTCCAACGCCCAGATGTTCCACAAATGTAACGATAATAGCTGGTAACATTGTTCGAAACAAAGCAGCGTAGGAGTAATAATTCATTCGATGTTTGATCTTCGTCCGAATTAGCACTCGATCGACGACGATCTCGAGAACATTCGCAACCGTCAAGATGGTCCATTGTATCACGCTATTTCATCTCATTAACCTCGTAGACGCTTAACCGTTTACGCGTTACACGTTCCACAACCTTGCCTGTACTCTATTTACATACGCTGCATTCACAATGCACGATCGAGCGAAGGTAACAGACTTCGCGTAGGCATGTACGTATAGGAGAACCGTGGGTGTTACGGGATAATGACACTCGACACGATACGTGTACGTACGGAATCAGAAAGGGAACTGAAATATGCGAACACGCGCCTACTGAAGTGGCATATTACATAATTGGAATGGGAGACGTTACGTTCACTAGCTTGTTAACAGGTGGACGATTTTCACGGATTTGTGAAAATACATTCACGATTATCTAATCACTTCCTGTGGACTTAAAGTTCAAACCTCAAGTTGATATTTCATTTTTTATTTTTTGCTATGAATTCCAAACTCGTGATTCTGATCATGTTTCTTGATTGAAAAATATTGTTCTGTTATAATTTTTAAGGTGGAAGTTGCTGTAACTAATGGTTTAGTGTAATAGAACTTCTATTAGTAATTTTGTATAATAACACAGACATTTATTTCTTGGAGGAAGTTTAATTCTCACACATTTGATTCCATAACTCCTAAATGGCAACTAACATACCTACTAATAATATACCTATAATATCAACTAAATACTAATATCCTTCTTTTCTCCACCTGATGATGAAGACAAATTGCATCAAAAAATTAGAGCATTTCTTCTACCTCAAATTAATTAGACCATTTCTTCTTCCACCTAAAATAAATTCGACCATTTCTGACCTTAAGCAAAAACAGTCCCCAAGCTAATCTATGACGTAGACCTTTTGCGGTCGAGGATAAGTTGTTAAAAGTTTTCATGAACTTCGATAAGTTTCCAGTTGCAGCAAATGTCACGATTCAAAATGGTACAATAATTGAGGCGAATGTGAACTGCGCGTTCCCTCCACTCCGCTCGCATGCAAACTGGTGCACATAACTGCAACCAGAATGTCCCGCTACTTGTTATGTGAAACTGCCGTATTTTCGTTGGAATAACATTCGAAATATCTATCGCGAATTCCCGCTTTGGATAAAACCGTATGAAACATGGCGTTGACCGAGTTAAGACCGGGACGTTACGTTGGTACCTATTCACTCGCGGAACAATCGATCGATGATGTTTATGGAAAACACTGGCGCCGCTAAAAACTGAAACGATGTTAACATTATGCGAGCAACAGAAAAGGGAATATTCAATGAGTATCTTTGAGTGACTCGTTGAAAATTGCTTTTATATGAGGTTCAATAATGTCGGGAATAAAGTTCAAACTGAAATTTTAATGTGAACTATCAGTGTGGGTATTATTCGGATAATTAAGTTATATATCTTGATGTATCAAGCTTTGATGTATTTTGATGTGTACCATTCTCATAGCGATAATTAACGAGTCTCGTTAAAACGACGTTACCACGCGTAGGACACCCAAGCGCTGAATTACCATGCATAGGACGCTCAAGCGTTGAATTACCACGCGTAGGACTCCCAAGCGCTGAATTACTACGCGTGGAGTTACTACGCGTAGGACTACCACGCGTGGAGTTACGATGCGTGGAGTTACCACGCGTGGAGTTACGATGCGTGGAGTTACCATGCGTGGAGTTACCACGCGTGGAGTTCCTACGCGTAGGACTACCACGCGTAGGACTCCCAAGCACTGACCTACCACGCATAGAATTCCCAAGCGTTGAACTACCACGCGTAGGACTCCCAAGCGTTGAATTACCATGCATAGGATTCCCCAGCGTTGAATTACCACGCGTAGGACTCCCAAGCGCTGAATTACTACGCGTGGAGTTACTACGCGTAGGACTACCACGCGTAGGACTCCCAAGTGCTGAATTACCACGCATAGAACTCCCAAGCGTTGAATTACCACGCGTAGGACACCCAAGTGTTGAATTACCACGCGTGGAATTACCACGCGTCGAATAACTACGCGTCGAATTACCACGCGTCGAATCATCACGCGTCGAATTACCACGCGTTGAATTACCTCGCGTCGAATTACCACGCATGGAATTACCACGCGTTGAATCACCACGAATCGAATCACCGTGCATCAAATTTCCGAGCGCTGAAAGATCAATTTTTATCCGATAATTAAATTATAAATCTTGATGTATCAAGTTTTGATATATCTCGATGTGTACCATTCTCATAGCAATAATTAACGAGTCTTTAGTCTTCGAATTTCACTGCGCCATTTTGTATACTTTTGCAGGCGTTAAAAAGAGAAGACATTAAAAATGGTAGATTCAATAAAGATACAGAGACTGTGATATCGTAAAATCACCTTTCACTAAGCAAAACGACGAGAAAATTGGTCGGTGCATGCAACACATGTAATTTGCCATGTGTAGTGTTATTTACGATTCTAAAGTGCAATGTAAGAAACGATTTCCAGCGTCCTTCGATATTACCATGTGACTCCAACAAACATTTTTGTTGCACGAGATGAAATATTCGCGAACAACTTGGGAATTTTTCGTAGAATTCGAGACGTCGATATAAGTAGCGAAATCGGTTCGATCAAATACATTCAAGGTAATTAATTTATTGCGTCAAATTGTATGGCAGAAACTCGTTTGCATTTTATTCGAAAATTTATCAGACTGGTGAAATTGAATGCGACTTGGAAATTCAGGCAGAGCTAAACCGTCGCTATTAAATATTCAACGTGAAAATGAAAGGAACCACGAGAAGAAACACGAGTCGTGTAATTTAAATCAGTTTGAATTTTTGTTTGAGAATAAAAGAAACCTGTATAGCGCGTCTATACAGATAGAATATCAATTTAAATTGACTTGTGCTCTAAAAATGAGGTTAACATTGTATGATGTATCCTTGCTATTGTATACCATTAACACTGAGACCATATCTGGGTATTAGTGTACTGCTTCATGGTCTGACATAAATCTTCTAGGGAATTCTTTTATTTAACCCATTATAAATGACATTGAATGTATTTGTATCATGCGTAGAAAGAATGAACGAATATTTTTAATGATGTGACTTACGCGAACAATAACTATATTCAGTAAGAACATACAAGTTAATTAAAGATATCACTTTCACTGAACATAAAATTGTCGTCAGCAAAGAACATGGGAAAATAAGGTTTCTAAGATGGCTGGAATTAAAATTCATGGCTGATACATTTGTGAAGGCATACAATACGAAATTGGGGCAAAAGGGCTTTTCTGAAGTAAGCCATGGATCAACAGTGATTGACACCATGAATTTAATACAAATGATGAATTTAATACGAGCGATATAAGCCTTGAATTTAATAAAATGTTAAAGAACATTTTAGACATGCTAATTTAAACAGGTGAAAAGTTCAAATTAAAAGAACCTCATAATATTTGTTACATCGTTACTTTTCACAGTGATAGCTATATAAAGTAGTTATATAAAATCATTAAAATGATTCTCCGCAACTCGCATTAATAATGTTTACTCGTTACAAAAGAACGTCGCAATTCGAAAAAGGTTGAGAAAGAGTGCAGTCTTTCAACAGTCCTTTTAAACGCAAAAAGAAAGATAAAATTGCAGTCGTAGATTTCGCAAGAGCCGTCGTAGTACGTACGGTCGTAGATTCATCAATTTCAGAAAATCAATTATTTCTTCTTGTCGTTAAGAATATCCTTTGCAAACGAGACAGCCACACAACGAACCGCGAACAATTCTCGTAAACCGCAATCGCGAGCTGACACGAGTCCTTAAGAAATAAATCTTCGAGCATCATGAACGTACACGGATCGCTCGTATTGGAATATACAAATGTTATTTGCTGTCTTAACGCGTCCCAACCGATCGGCTGATCATGCAATTAGGCAGCTATGACTTAAGTGTGTGGCGCAAGCGGAGATGGAAAAAAATGAATAAATTGAATAAGAAACGAATCGTCGAGATTCTACCGCGCATTCCTGCGCAATTATAGTTTCCTTTTATCGCGTCGATC